TGTGTTGGAGACCCCTCTAGCCTGGACTAGAGATGCTCTGAGGCCTAAGGAGACCTTATAGCAGAGGCGGGGGGAATGAGGCTCACTCCCCAGCCCCCGGTCCTGGCTGTGTCTCAGGCCTAGAGCCTCCTGTGGTACATTTGGAGACTGGGGGCTGGAGGGGACAGAGTCCAGCCTCTTCTGTACAGAGGGTAAAGAGGCCCAGAGGGGCAAGGGCTAGCCTTTTGTCTCCTAGGTCCCCATTCTCAGTGCTCTGCGCTCTGAGATGGGGTCCTTGTCCCTGACAAAAGTCTGATGTAGGAACTTGGCCACCTCTACAACACAACCCCTGGAGCTTCAGTGTCCCCATCTGGAAAATGGGAGCCTCCCTCTGATCCCCCATAGTGGGTGGGCAAGGCTGGGGACTGACAACCTCATTCCACTGGTCACCCTCTGGCACGACCCTTACCTTTGGGCCTGGAGGCAAAGGTTGGACCACAGTGTCTCCTCTGTTCCACCCTCCCAGGCCCCACCGCTGTGTAAGGAGGGAGCTGTGGGAGGGAGGGAAGGAAGTACAAAGCGCCATTGTCTACTGAGGGGGAAGGGGAAGGGGATGGGGCGGTTTCCGAAACTGCCCAGTGAAATTCTCCCGGGAGGAAAGAGGGTGCTTCCTCCCCCTGGGGGGCCGGCTCTCCGTGTGCTCTCTGCCCTCGCTGCTGGGAAGCCTGGCAGGCCCTGAGGTCTCGCTGGGCCTCAGTCTCCCCAACAGCACAACGGAGGGGACTCTCCAGGGTTTCTCCCAATCCCAGCTCCCCCAGTTGCCCATGGGGGTCCCGCCGGCGGTGGCGCGAGGCCTCGCCAGGGGGCGCTGAAAGCCCGCAGGCTCTGCGACCGCATTCCCTCGCAGGGTGCCTCCCTCGCAGGGTGCCGCCCTCGCCTGGCCCACCCCGCCTCGCGCTAGGCGCCGAAGGGGGAGCCAGATATGAAGACCCCCGCTACCGCCTGCTTCAGTGTCCCGACCTAAAGGGAAGAAACCAAGGTCCCCAGGATACCCAGCTGAGTGACGGAGGTCGAACTGGAACTCGGGACCGAGGGGAGGGCGTCCCGGCTGGTGTGGAGGGGCACGCGGCGTGCAAGTCCCCAGGCGCCCCCATTCCGACCATTCCCCGCCCAATCCTCAAGAATGTGCGGGAGCCGGGGCCGGAAGCGACTGCCCGCATCCCCAAATCGGCCAGACGCCGGGCGCAGGGCGGGCGGAGCGGGCCCAGCTTTTCCTTATAAGGCCCGGCCCCGCGGGGAGGAGCCCGGTTCGGGACGCCCCCGTTCTTGCCACGAGGCCAGCGGGGGCCGGGCCGGCGCGCGGGGCGCAGTAATGGCGGGCGCCGGGTGCTGGAGGAGCCGCTCCCGGGGTCGGAAAGACTTCGAGCGGCACCAAGCCTGAGACCGGGGCAGGTTCTCATCTGTTCTTTCCCAGAAATTGGGGCGTGAGTGGACTGACTTCAACCACTGCTCCAGCTTCTTCTCCGAAACTTTTCTCAGCGCCGCCCGAGCCTCGCATGAGAGAGGGAGGTGGCGGCTGAAGAACTCTGAGCCTGACTGTGGACACCTTGAGATGAGGATGCGCGGGAACCTGGCCTAGCATTCCCTCTTTTTGGGCTGCGCAGACTCTGTGACTCCCACTGGGACTTGGACTTCCTGAGGGGAGGTCGAGCTGACTGGTGGGCACCTTTGGAAACCCAACCCCATCCCCTCCAGGCTGCACACATCCTGCGGTGATAGTGGAGAGGCAGACACCCAGAGAGTCTAATGCACTGGTCTGAGAACATACAGGCAGGAGTGCCTTAGGGAGGTTATGGCAGCAGCTGGGCACTGCCCAGTGGCTGGGCTACGCTAGCTGGTTCCAGCCTCTGCCTGCAGGGGAAGGCATGAGACGGGGGTGGGTCACTTGTCTTCTAGGTAAGGTAAATCTTTAATTTACCCCCATGGACAAGGTTCAGGGACTGGGGAGATGGAGCTCCTCTGGCCCCTCCTCCAGGTCAGGCTGCCTGGTCTTGGGGGTTGGGGGAGGAGCCCTGCCCCACCGGGTTGCCCTACAGCCTCTCTGTGCATGGGGATAGACAGGGCTCTCAGGAAGAGGAACAAGAAAGGGGATGGAGTGGGCTCATCTTTCTTCTACCTGAGATCTGGGTCCATGCCTCATTCTGTACCCATGCCAACTCTAAGACCTAGAGCTTGTGTGCACACACATCTCCCTCCCTCCCTCCATTTTACAGGTAAAGGAACTGAGACTCAGGAGTAGAAAAATGAGATGAGAAGCCACAGAATCCATAAGGGCCCACAAAGCCTGTTTCTCTCTTATGGCCTCGTCCAGCCTTGACTTTCCCAGGACTCTGGTCCCCCGTGGCCCACTATGGGGTTGGGATTTTGGCACAGCTCCTTCTTAGATGGGTGTCCTTGAGCAGGTGATTTTAACTCTCTTGAGTTGCAGTGCCCAGGCTTTCAGAGCTGCTGTAATTATTCTGTGACATGGTATATATACCCAGTACCCAGCCTGCCCCCTGCCAGGCCTTGGCATTGTTAATCATTGCTGCTACCATTATCACTGGGCCAGCTTCCAGGGGTGGGCACTGCCCCAGCTATTGCTCTGGAGAGGCATATCCAGCCTCACCACACCTGTGGCTGCACATGGGTGAGTCCACAGCAGTTACTGTTTAAACAGGTGGTGGCCATGGAGGGCTAGGAGGGACTAGGCTTCAGCACCTGGCATGGACAGGCACATGCCACAAGGGCCTCTGCATCAGCCACATGGAACTGGCCCACCTCTGTTCCCGTGTCCCCCTCCTCCTGACCTTTCCCCCATCACTTCTTCCTGTTAGCTGAGAAGTATCCTGGATTGACCCTGCCTCTCTGGCTTGGCTTTCCTGTCCCCACAGTGGGTGATGGGGCCACTTACCAGCTTCCGAAGGGCTCCCTCATCCAGCCCAGCTAAGGCCTCGTCTGCCATCTCACTGGCCCCTAGCTCCGTTGGTTCCTTTCTGGTGAGATCCCCAGTGCCTGTGGCACCTGTCACCAGCTCAGAGGATTCTGCAGGGGACAGACATGAATCAGGCATGCTGGGGCTTCTAGAAACCACAGAACCTTAGGCTCTGTGCCTTACTTTCCCTCTCTAACCTAGGAGCGTCCATTACTGTCCCATCCTGTAATGTGGCTCCTGGCTGGAAGTTGCCCTCTGCCCTAGGGTGGTTTGCTGGAAAACTCAGCAAACCCAGCGTAGGGGGTCTTTGGTTCCAGCCCTGCCAGCTTGGCCACCAGTCTGCTGTGTGGCCTGGGATGGACTCTCATCCTGTCTAAACCTCAAACAGGGAGGGCAGGGACCTGGATTGAGAAGCCAGAGCCGGGCAAGGCCCACCCAAGCTGTGCTCACCACCAGGGGGTGCACTCCAGTCTCCAGTTTCCTGCCCCACCCACCCATCCCCAGGGCCTACCCAGCCCCCACCCACTCTCCAGGCTCAGCCTCTGGCTGTGGGCTGAACCCATAGTTCTCGCTGCCACCACCACTGTCATTCCCCCAGGTATAGGAAGGTACACTTTTTGTCTTCCAATTCTTGGAGCCAGCTCTGCTGTCCAGACCTCCTGAAGCCAGGTGTCCAGGCACCCAGCACCTCCTGCCAGTTCACACAGAATTCAATTCCCCACCTGGAAGGGCTTTCAGAAGCTGACCTGCCCAACCTCTGGATTTCAGGCAAACTGAGAGGATTGAAGAGGGCCAAGGATTTGTCACTAAGCAAGGAGGAAGCCAAAGACTTAGAGGGCAGAGAAGGATGTAATCAAAATCTTCGTCATCTCCGGCTTCCGAAGCTCCCTTCCAAAGTGCCCTCAAGGGCCTGGAACACTCTCAGTGACAGAGGCAAGAGCCCCATTTCGCCCCAGTGCTGCCTATCAGAATGGACTCCTAAATCCTGGCCCAGCCTCCCAGCGTATATCTCTTCTTCCTCCTGTAGCCCCAACTAATGTCTGGACTTTGAGGGGCCCTGGTCTGGCACACTGGATGCTTAGTTAATGTATGGTGACTGACTAATGTATGGCCCCAGGACTGCCCCCCTGTCTCCTGTTGATTCATCTTTCAATCATCCCTTCCCTCTCTTCAGAACAGTCACTTGGGAAGTCACCCCATCCAGTGCATGGGTAGGGGGTGAGGGTTACAGCTCCACACAGTTGGGGTATGTGGGTCCCTGCCTGTTTAAGTCACTGCTTGCTCCTCCTCCCATCCTGGTAGGCTCAGAGGTGTCAACCTCCCAATCTCTGCCTGTTAGGATTCTTGCCTCTTACCTAGTTACTCTGTCTGCGTTAAACCTTTTCAAGACTGTACAGTGGTCACCAGCCTTAGGTTCTGCGGACATTCTGATTCCCCCCATGTCTTTTCTTCTAAGGGGCAGGTGTCCCCCAATGCCTAATTTAGACACCCACGGGACTATAAGAAGATCCCTGCCGCTGCCCTTCTCCAATCCCATGGCTCCCTGTCACACAGTCTGGGGTCGCCGGACATTGTGAGGGGCCTCAGGGTTCTGTGGCAGCTTCCCCAGGGTTTCTGCCGCCACAGACTAGCGCCCCTGTGGGGCGTGGGGTCCCTTAGGAATCCGCAGGCGTCTTCCCCCAACAGTCTCAGAACTTTATCTCATGGCTTAGAGCTCTCGTATGGGTGGGGGCTCCTAGGTCTGGACGTTCCAGAACTCCTGGCTAGACATCCGGGTTCCACCCCCGAACACGTTGGGGCAGCATCAGGATCCCCCCCGCGGTCCGCACACCCACCTCTCAGTCCAGCCCACCCGTCCGGCGCGGGCTCGGCTTAGCTCTTTCGGGACCAGACAGATGGATTAGACACGCGCAGGCGGGAGGCGCCGCGACCCGGTGTCCCAGTCCCGCTCAGCAACCGTCCCCTGGATTCTGTGGAGAGCTGCCCGTCCAGCCGCACTAGCCTCCCGGCTGGCCCCGCCCCGCCCCGACGCGCCAGCCAATTCTCGATCGGGTACCTCCCACTCTCGTGCGCCATTGGGAAAATTCAATTTGACGGCCACGCCCCTCGCAGTCCAGGGAGGTTGGAGATTGTAGTCTTGGGGTCGTCTGCCTCGGTGGCTTTAGCGAGTCGGGTGGGCATCGGCAGGGGGACGCAGGCTCTGCGCCAAGTCGGGGAGGGCGCCCCAAGCCGAGGTAAGTTTCCTGGGGTCGTAGGAGTCTCAGAGCCTTCAGGGCAGCCCCTCTCCGCCCTCCTCTTTGTTCCTGAGACCACGTCCCCTCCCTCGACTCCACCCCTTTCTCGCGTCAGTGTTTAAGCTTGGCCGCCGTCCCTAGGCTGCTTTCAGGACACCTGGTTTGAGCCACCTCAGAGCAGGGACTGAGTGACTGGCAGCACCTTGAACCTTTGGAGTTGGAGTGCCGGTTGGAGTGCCGGGACCATCTCAGGTGGAGCAGGATCAATCACACAGCACACCTCCCCCAGCCCACACACCTTTGAACAGACATTGCCTTCTTGTAGTGTTCTTCTACCTTCCAAGCCCTGAGAGTCTGCCTTTAGGTGCGCTGGAGTCCTAAATAGGGAATATGGAGTCCAGGCTGTCGTTCAGCAAATATGGGAAATTGAGGCCCAGAGAAAGCTGATATGTCCAAGACCAAACAAAGAATCAGCCAGGGGACCCAGGAGGTCAGACCCACAAGGGAAAGCTATTCCATCTTCAGTGCCACAGGCCCTAAAACCGCCCTCAGATCTCCATGGAGACCAAAGTGGGTGGAGTTAGGAGGATGGGGTCTGGAGTCCTGTCAAATAAAAACAGTAACAAATCATTTATTTTGTACTTGCCATGTACCAGGCATAAAATGCCCATAGCAAGAACATGAGACCATGACTACTGTCCCATTTTACAGATGAGGACAACAGCTGATAAGTAGTAAAGCTGTGATTCCTACGCAGCACCTTCTGAGTCCAGACTCTGCTTTTAACCAGTATAATGTGGGATTCTGGGGAGGTAGTTTCAGCCTGTTGCCCCAGAAGAGCCCTGGTTCAGGTCCTCTGTGACACCCCCGGCCCCCATCTAAGGAAAGGCCCAGTCTCCACATTGAGAGTCTTTTCCATGTGTCATTTCATTTCATCCCCACACCCCTGAGAAGTGGTCCCATTTTACACATCAGAAAACCAAGGCACCGGCCGGGTGCGGTGGCTCACGCCTGTAATCCCAGCACTTTGGGATGCCAAGGCAGGTGGATCACCCAAGTCCAGCCTGGCCAACATGGCAAAACTCCATCTCTACTAAAAATACAAAAATTAGCTGGCAGGTGGTGTGCAACTGTAATCCCAGCTACTTGGGAGGCTGAGGCAATAGAATCGCTTGAACCTGGAGGCAGAGGTTGCAGTGAGCTGAGACTGTGCCACTGCACCCCAGCCCAGGCGACAGAGCAATATTCCATCTCAAAAAAAGAAAAAAGAAAATCAAGGCACAGAAGAAAACGACTTGTCAAGGCTACACAGCAGGAGAGGCAAACAGAGCTCACTTTGGAGGACATGGTTCAATGTCCTAGGCCTTCTCTACCTGGGCGAGATGCCATGTTATTATCCAGAACGAGGGTCAGGCGCCCTCTAAGGCCAATTCTGAATACTTTAAAATTCGCGCGTCCCTTGGGACCTCCCCTTCATGCAGGGCACACCTAGGCCACCTCTGATTTTCAGGGCCTACCTGAATGGCAGTCACCAGCTCCAATGAATGGCCTGGTTTGTGCTAACACCCTCCTTTCTCCCTGCCCTCCTGTAGGCTAGGAGGAATGGTACCGGTGAGTTCCTCCATGCTTAGATTTACTGTCTGGCACATGCCCTCACTAGCCTTTGGCCCTATGGAAGGGATGTGTGGGTCCTGCCCCCTCAAGTCCTTAGTGCCTGGGTCCACCTCCAGACATACCCGCCTGCCTCTTTGTCTTCCTCTCTGCAAGGGAGAGGGGGTGATCTAGAGATCAAAGGGCAGTCTGGTACAGTGCTGGGGAAGTTTATGGCTACAGCTGAGGAAAGAGTAAACATCCTGTGATGAGGGCCCCAGCATTTGCTGAGCACCTGTTGCATGTCAGACGTGGGGCTCCCACTACTGCCAGGTGACCACTGTGTAGGATAGCTACATTCTGATTTGACAGAGGAAGCTGAAGCTCTGGGCGGTGAAGGCTAGTAAAGGCATTCAGACTAAAGTGGAATTCTGCCTGATGTTGAAGACTTTTCCCTCCACTTTGCTGCCACTAGGATGGGGGAAGCTCTGGAAGACTTCTTAGGGAAGTGGCATATAAACTGTCACCCTTTTTTTTTTTTGAGGTAGAGTCTTGCTCTGTCACCCAGGCTGGAGTGCTGGAGTGCGGTGGCACAATCTCGGCTCACTGCAAGTTCCGCTTCCCAGGTTCACGCCATTCTGCTGCCTCAGCCTCCTGAGTAGCTGGGACTACAGGGGCCCGCCACTTACGCCTGGCTAATTTTTTGTATTTTTTAGTAGAGACGGGGTTTCACCGTATTAGCCAGGATGGTCTCGAACTCCTGACCTTGTGATCCGCCCGCCTCGGCCTCCCAGAGTGCTGGGATTACAGGCGCGAGCCACTGCGCTCAGCCAGCCCTTTTTTTTTTTTTTTTGGAGACAGGGTCTTGCTGTGACCCACAAGCTGGAGTGCAGTCGCATGATCACAGATCACTGTGGCCTTCGCAAGATCACAGCTCACTGTGGCCTCAAACTCCTGGCTCAAGCAGTCCTCCCATCTCAGCCTCCCAAGAGGCTAAGACTACAGGCACACACCACACGCCCAGCTAAGTTTTAAAATTCACCCCACATAGAAAAGGGAGAAAGGCATGAAAGAGCATTTGTGGCAGAGGAAGAGTGTGATCAAAGACCAGTAATCTGGGAAAAGGAGGAGGACAGGCTGTGGGTGGAGCAGGAAATGTAGGTGGTTCTCTTTGTGAAGGATTCTGAATGCCAGGTGAGCAGGGTGAATGTATCTTGTGGGCACCAGAGAGGCCTGGGCCTCAGCCTGCCCCCTGTAAAATGAAGTGATTGGACTGGCCTGCTTCAGGCCTTCCTAGGGCAAGGGGCTGTCACAGAAAGGGTCTACTCTAGGTTCTTCCAGGTTCAACCCTGGAAAGGCAGAATGGGAAGTGGCTGGAGCAGCTCAGAGGCTAGGGGTCATATTTTGCTCCAGAGCCCAAGTCTGAGAATGACTATTTTACGAAGCTGTCTGCGTTGCATCCCTACGTCACCCTGGCTAACCTTCCACCCAGTCAGGGTCCTGCAGAGAAAGCCCAGGCCTGGGGTCAGGAGGCAAGAAGGGTGATGGGTGTCTTACCCCTGGCTCCACCCTAGGTAAGGCTTGGCCCTCTTGGAGCCTCAACTTGCTCATTTGCACAATGGAGGAGCTGTGCCTTGGGTTCTCTAAGCCTCCTCTCCTCAGGACAGCACTGTCATTCTGGAGATGCGAACAGCACGAGCAAGGGAACGGAAGTAGGATTGAGGACCTTGTTGGGCAACAGACAGGCAGGTGAGGCTGAAGCATGGAGTCGCTAGAGATGAATGATTCTTGTTGGGGTTGACTGGATCCAAGAGCTATGACCTTCCTTCTTATGTGCAGAACTGGATGCGCCCTAGGTCATGGCCAGCAGCCCTCGGAGTGGGACTGAGGACCTGTTGGGAAACCAGTTTGGCAAGGCCATCATCTCCATGATGTCATCCAGCTGCTGTGTTCTCTGGGCAACAGTGCCAGGCAAACTTCCGGCCCTGGAGAAGGAGAAGGGGCCTCAGATGCCCACCGGGCAGCAATGAATTCCAGGAGACCCAGCCTTACAGACAAAGGAGAGGCAAAGGGCTGCGACAGGAAGGAGAGAGTTCTGGATGTGCCAGCCTGGACCTCTTTAGACTTCTGGGAGTCCCTGATGCCTGGGCGCAGGGAGTGGGGGGTCTAGGCTCATGGTGGGGTATTATGTAATTGCCACCTGATGGGTTGGACACTGGCTCCTGATCATGTTTATAATGCATGTGTGGCAATTTTGTTACCACTATGACCTTCATAGCTTGAGTCCTGTGAGGTAGTACCACTATTACACAGATAAGGAGATAGGTTCAGAACCCTCGTTCTTTTGGTTTTTGTTTGTTTGTTTGTTTTGAGACAGAGTCTCACTCTGTCACCCAGGCTGGAGTGGAGTGGCACAACCATGGCTCACTGCAGCCTTGACCTCCCAGGCTCACAGTGGGACTACAGACACGTGCCACCATGCCCGGCTAATTTTTTTATTTTTTGTAGAGACAGGGGTCTCCCTATGTTGCCAGGGCTAGTCTCAAACTCCTGGGTTCAAGCAATCTGCGTGCCTTCACCTCCTAAAGTGCTAGGATTACAGGTGTGAGCCACTGCGCCTAGCCAGAACATTTGTTCTTAATCACCATATTCTATCATCCACCATTTGGAAACTCCGCTCAAATGAAGCCTGAGCACTGGGGAGACCTGGGTCTCAGTCTGCCCATCTTTAAAATGAGGGGGTTTGACTGGCCTTCTTCAGGCCCTCCTAGGTCAAGAGACTTAATAAGAAGGGTCTAGATTCTTCCAGGTTCAGCCCTGGACTGGCAGAGTAGGGAGTATCTGGAGCAGCTCAGGGGCCGAGGGTATTTTGGTTCCAGAGCCCGGTCCGAGAATGAATATTTCGCCAACCTGTCAGTGTGGGATCCCAGCAAACCCTTCTCTCTACTTGTGAATGGAGCACCTGAATCTTGGTATCACAGAGTCCTATTATGGTTCACATTACTTGGTATCACATTACCTATTATGGTTCAAATAGGTAACTGAGTCCCAGAGAGGACAAGGGACAGGTTTCAGGTAGCGTAGCAAATCAGGAGCAGAGCCATTCTGCACCCCAGATTCTCAACCTCCCAAAACTTTGTTTCCTCCTTAGGGCCTGGCACACTCAAACATGAAATAACCGACACATATTGAGTGCCTACTCCATACCATGCACTCGTTTAACCATCACCACAGCCCTGTAAAGCAGATGCTAATGTTCTGTCCCTTTTATGGGCAAAGAAACTGAGGCTTAGAGAGGGGAAGTCATTTGTCCAAGTTGACACTGCATGTTACTGGTAGGGAAGGGATTCGAACCCAGGTGTATAGGCCCTTCCCCTTCAGAAGATCCAGTAAATCTCATTGGAGGCATGAAGACCTGTAGACAGCAGGGTGGATGGCTCCTTTGCCGGTTCTGAAGGTACGCAGTTCTGAAGGCACGCAGTGTCGAATTCAGTTTCCACGCAGGCCTGGCCTCTCTGGGGCAGGCAGAAAAGTGCTGAGGCTGCAGAAGGTCTCTGAATCTTCCCAGAGGAGGCGGCCACAGTGGGAGGGAGTGCTCTGCACCAACCTCAGAGCCAAGTGTAGACGTGGCGGGCTGAACCAGCTGCAAGCAAGGGAAGGCGGGCAGGGTGGGGCCCAAACCCAAACCCAGCCTCCAAGCCGTGTTCCCAGCCTTCCACCAGCCAGGCCCTGCCCTGCCCGCCCTTCTCACTCCCCATCTGGATTTGAGATGAGGACACCGGACCTAATAATAGCCAAATGGCAGAGGAGGCAGTGCCTAGAGCCACTGCCAGTTGGGGCCTGGGGTCCCCCATGGTCTCATGTTGGCCTCCAACAGGGTTCAGAACTTTAAAAGTACTGCACTCTAGCCTGGGCGACAGAGCGAGGCCTTGTCTCAAAAACAAAACCAAAAACAAAACAAAACAAAAACCCTTTAAAAGTAATGGCAACTGCTTATGAAGTTTGTAATATGTGCTGGGCACTGCGCTAAAGCTTAGCCCACAGTAACTCACTTATTCCTCACACCACCCCCATGGGCTAAGACTATTTTTTCTTTTTTTTTAGACAGAGTCTTGCTCTGTCACTCAGGCTAGAGCGGTGGCACAATCTCGGCTCACTGCAACCCCTGCCTCCTGGCTTCAAGTGATTCTCCTGCCTCAGCCTCCCAAGTAGCTGGGATTTCAGTGGCCCATCACCACGCCTGGCTAATTTTTGTATTTTTAGTACAGACAGGCTTTTGCCATGTTGGCCAGGCTGGCCTCGAACTGCTGAACTCAGGTGATCCACCCGCTTCGGCCTCCCAAAGTGCTGGGATTACAGGCATGAGCCACCACACCTGGCCGAGCTAAGACTATTCTTAGCCCTTTTGATGGATGGAACACTGCACCTGATGATAACAGGAACTTGGCAGCCTTCAGTTGCTGAGCGTGCACACTGTCCCTCCTTGGCACTCTGCTAAGCACTTTCTTTGTATCTTCCCATTGATTCCCCATAGCTTTATGAGACAGATGTTAATTTCTTTAGACGAAGAAAAACATGAGGCCCAGAGAGGAATGTGACTTGCCCAAGGTCATACGGCTATAATGGACAGAGTCGAGACTCAAACTTAGGACTTTCTAACTTTAGAGAGGCTAAGACCTTAGCTTCTGGAAACAGACAAACTTGAGGATGGTGGGGACATCACTGCTCCTTAGCTATGCAGCCTTGGCAAGTCACATCACCTGCCTGAGCCTCTGTTTTCTCCTCTGTAAATTGGGGGTTTGGTTGAGATAATACTAAGACTCCCTGGCAGCTATTAAGCCCACCTTGGGTGTAATAAAATAGGTAATTTACGGCACACATTTCCATGGTGCATTCCCTCAGTCAGTTCTCACAATAGCCCCCAACATGAGGACTCCCCTCTTCTAGCACCTGTGTTTTTTGTTGTTGTTGTTGTTTTGTTTTTTTGAGACAGTTTCACTTTTGTCGCCCAGGCTGGAGTGCAATGGTACAATCTCAGCTCACTGCAACCTCCGCTTCCTGGGTTCACGTGATTCTCCTGCCTCAGCCTCCTGAGTAGTGAGTAGCCGGTATTACTGGCGTGCGCCACCACGCCTGGCTAAGTTTTAAGTTTTATATTTTTAGTAGAGACGGGATTTCACCATGTCGGCCAGGGTAATCTTGAACTCCTGACCTCAGGTGATCCGCCCGCCTTGGCCTCTCAAAGTGCTGGGATTACAGGTGTGAGCCATCACGCCCAGCCCCAGCACCTGTTTTATAGAAGGGAAATGTGAGTCTCAAAGAGGGGAAGGCACTTGCCCAAAATCAATAGCAAGTGAGTCAGGACTTAAGCCCAGTGCTGTGATTCTAGAGGCTGAGCTCTTTATTATTTTTTAAGACAGGATATCTCTGTCACCCAAGCTGGAGCGCAGTGGTGTGATCATGGCTCACTACAGCCTTGACCTCTCTGGGCTCAGGTGATCCTCTCACCTCAGCCTCCCAAGTAGCTGGGACTACAGGCACTCACCACCACACCCGACTAATTTTTATAGAGATGGAGTTTCCCCATGTTTTCCAGGCTGGTCTCGAACTCCTAGTTTCAAGTAATCTGTCCACCTCAGCCTCCCAAAGTGCTGGGATTACACAGGTGTGAGCCACTGTGCCCAGCCAGGCATGTGACTATTTTTGGTCAACAGACTATATGGAAGTGGCATTGCCAGTTCCAAGCCTGGGCATTGAGAGATTGGGCCTTCAGAGATTCCACTCATTCTCTTGGAACTCTCGCAGCTGTTATGTGAACAAGCCTGGGCTATCCTGCCTAAGAGACCACTGGAACAGGGACTAGTCGTCCTAGCTGAGGCTGTCCTAGTCAGTCACCAGCTAATCCAATAGCTGACCACAGATACATGAGTAAGCCCAACTGAGACCAGAAAAATCTTTAGCTGAGCCCAGGCTAAAGTGCCAATCCATGAAATCTCGAGCTAAAAAAATGGTTGCTGTTTTAAGGCACTAAGTTTTGAGGTGGTTTGTTATGTAGCATTGTTGTGGCAATTGATAACTGATGCACAATTTTATTCAGTGTAATTAATACTGACTGCTGTAACAAACCAATATCTCAGTGTTTATTTCAGAGTTTATTTCTCATTAATCAGAGTTTATTTCTCACTCCTGCAAAGACTGATATAGGTAGGGGCTCTCCCAGGGAGCTCTTTTCCAAACAGTGACCTTGCCCCCCAATCCTGCCTTCACCCCAGGCTCTCCCTGGAATCTGTTCCTGAATCCTCTGCATGTGGAAAGGGAATCAGAAAATCAAAGGAGGCGCATCCACACTTCACTGCCTTTGCACAGGGGTCACATGTAATTTCATTGGCCTTTATGTAGTCACATGACTCTACTAACTGCAGGAAAAATGAGAACATGACCTTCCTGTGTGTCCAGGAAAAGGAAACAGGTTACAGAACACAAAGCATTGTTTCTGTTACATTCCTCCTGTTGTGGGGCTGGCGTGCATGCGTGTGTGTGTGTGTGTGTGTGTGTGTGTGTCTGTGTGTCTGTAGGTGTGGTGAGAGTTGGAGGGGTGTGTGTGTTAAGCAGAGAATTAACATCTATAAAGAATCAACAGTGGTGCATGCCTGTAATCCCACTACTCTGGGAAGCTGAGGCAGGAGGATCACTTGAGCTCAGGAGGTTGAGTGTGCACTGAACCGAGATCATGCCATTGCACTCCAGCCTGGTGACAGAGCAAGACCCTGTTTCAAAAAAAAAAAAAAAAAAAAAAAAAAAGAAAAAAGAGAGAGAGAGAATCAACTTCAGCACTAAAATCAGCACTTACCATGTGTTAGCTTAAATAAGGGGCAAGTTATAGGTAAAGAATGTGAGGCTCAGCTTAACTGGGCCTGGTGCTGCACGCCTGTAGTCCCAGCTATTTGGGAGGCTGAATTGGGAGGATCACTTGAGCCTAGGAGGTTGAGGCTGCAGTAAGCAGAGATTACCCACTGCATTCCAGCCTGGGCGACAGAATAAGACCTTCTCTTAAAAATAGAAAAAGAGGCTGGGTACAGTGACTCATGCCCGTAATCCCAGCACTTTGGGGGGCTGAGGTGGGCAGATCACCAGAGGTCAGGAGTTCGAGACTAGCCTGGCCAAGAAGGTGAAACCCTGTCTCTACTAAAAATACAAAAATTAGCCAGGCCTAGTGGTGGGCACCTGTAATCTCAGCTATTTGGGAGGCTGAGGCAGGAAAATCGTTTGAACCCAGGAGGCGGAGGTTGCAGTGAGCTGAGATCATGCCATTGCACTCCAGCCT